TAAAAGAAAAAAATAGCAGCAGCCAGATCAACAAGCCAGAGTTGCTGACAATCAACAATAGCTAGAAGAGCAAGTTTTTGTTGCAACTTGTTATGGAACCAGAACCTCCTCCAGTGCATGGCTCATTGATAGTGGCTGCACACACCATATGGCATCTGATATCAACATATTCAAAGAACTAGACAAGACCTGCACCTCTAAAGTCAGAATAGGTAATGGTGATTTCATAGAAGTCAAAGAAAAAGGAGTAGTGACAGTTGAGACACCAACAGGTACCAAACTCATTTCAGATGTGTTATTTGTGCCCAAAATAGATCAAAACCTGTTAAGTGTAGGACAGTTGCTAGAAAATAACTACTCTTTAGTCTTCAAAGACAAGGCATGCATAATTCATGATCCCACTGGCCATGAACTCTTTACTGTTAATATGAAAGAAAAATATTTTTCTTTGAATTGGCATGAAGCAAACTCCTCTGCATATGCTACTTCACATAATGAATCTTCTTTATGGCATAAAAGGATGGGACATTTCAACTACAATGCATTGAATTTCATGCATAAAAATGATCTTATATTAAACATGCCTACTGTTGAAGTCAGTGCTGGAGTGTGTGAAGTCTGTCAACTAGGAAAATAAAGTAAGTTACCATTTGCAATTAACAAAGCATGGAGGGCAACTGAAAGATTACAACTTGTTCATACTGATGTTTGTGGTCCTATGAGAACCTTGTCCTTGAATGGCAGTAGATATTTCATTGCTTTTATAGATGACTTTACTAGAATGTGTTGGATTTACTTCATGAAACAAAAGTCTGAAGTTGCAAATGTATTTTGGAAGTTCAAGGCTTGGATTGAGAATCAAAGTGGCTGCAAAATCAAGATCATAAGGTCAGACAATGGTACTGAATACACATCTGACAGATTTAATGAGTTTTGTGAAGTTGCAGGAATTGAACACCAACTGACAGCAACTTACACTCCACAACAAAATGGAGTCAGTGAAAGGAAGAATAGAACAATCATGGAGATGGCAAGATGCATGCTGTTTGAGAAGAATCTTCCAAAGAAATTCTCGGCAGAGGCAGTCAATACCTCTGTCTACTTGCTCAACAGGCTGTCCACAAAAGCTTTGAAGGGAAACACTCCTTTTGAAGCCTGGAATGGAAGCAAACCATCAGTGCACCACCTCAGAATTTTTGGCAGCATCTGTTATGTGTTCGTTCCTGATATCAAAAGGGACAAGCTTGATCAAAAAGCAGAAATATGTATTTTTCTGGGCTATAGCAACATCACCAAAGGCTATAGGACTTACAATCCACTTACAAGCAAGATGATTGTAAGTAGGAATGTGAGATTTAATGAGCAAGCTGTCTGGAATTGGAAAAAATCAAAGGGAGAATCAGTCAAGCAAATTGCTGCAGACATGATAAGCTTCCAAGATCAAGAAGATTATATGTTTGAAAATGAAATTATTGATCATGAACCAGTGAGAAGAATCAGACCACTCACAGATATTAATCAAAGATCAAATGTTGCTATTCTTGAACCTGTAAGCTTTGAAGAAGTTGTCAAATTTTCAGAGTGGAGAAATGCCATGAAGGAAGAAATTCAAATGATTGAGAAAAATCAAACATGGATGCTGGTTGACAGACCAAGTAACAAAAACATCATTGGTGTCAAATGGATTTTCAGAACAAAGTTGAATGCTGATGGTTCCATCAACAAACTTAAAGCTAGATTGGTAGCTAAAGGCTACTCCCAACAGCTTGGTGTTGATTTTTCAGAGACATTTACTCCAATTGCAAGGTTGGACACTATAAGACTGTTATTAGCCTTAGCAACTCAACAAAGTTAGAAAATATACTAACTTGATGTCAAATATACCTTCTTGAATGGTTATCTTGAGGAGGAGATCTACATTGAACAACCTGATGGTTTTGTTACCAAGAGACATGAAGGCAAAGTCTATCTACTCAAGAAGGCTTTGTATGGATTAAAACAAGCTCTCAGAGTGTGGAATTCCAGAATTGATGATCATTTACTGAAGTTAGGTTCAAGAAAAGCCTCAGTGAAGCAACATTGTACATTAAAGTTTTTAACAGTAATGATCTGTTGATTGTTTCTTTGTATGTTGATGATCTTTTGGTGACAGGTAGCAAATCAGCTCTTGTGGAAGATTTTAAGCTCCAAATGCAGGAAATTTTTGAGATGGCAGACATGGGAGAAATGTGTTATTTTCTTGGAATGGAGATTCATCAAGACCAGCAAGAAATCTTCATTTGTCAAAAAAAATATGCAAATGAAATCCTGAATAAGTTTGGGATGGAAAATTGCAAACCAGTCAACACTCCTTTGGCTCAAAATGAGAAACTTGTTAAGGAAGATAGAGCTAACAAAGTTGATGGCTCTATTTATAGAAGCTTGGTTGGTTGCTTATTGTATTTGACAACAACCAGGCCAGACATCATGTATGCTGCAAATTTACTCTCTAGGTTCATGCAAAATCCTAGTGAGTTGCATTTTAAGGCTGCAAAAAGAGTGTTGAGATATATCAAAGGAACCAATGAACTTGGAATTTGGTTCAAGAAGAATGACAGTTCAAGATTGGTAGGATTCACAGACAGTGACTGGGCTGGCTCTCATGAAGACATGAAAAGTACTTCAGGCTATGTGTTTTTCATTGGATTAAATGTGTTCAGCTGGAATTCAAAGAAACAAGGAACAGTGGCTCAATCAACAGCAGAAGCAGAGTATATAGCTGCTGCAGTTGCTGTTAATCAAGCAATTTGGCTAAGGAAAATTCTGTTGGATTTGAGTCAAAAGCAAGATGATCCAACAAAATTTTTTTGTGATAATCAGTCAACAGTTGCAATGGTCAAGAACCCTGTGTTTCATGGAAGAACTAAGCATATTAAGATCAAGTATCACTTTATTAGAGAAGTTGAAGCTGAGAATGAAGTGAAACTGGTGCATTGCAAGTCAAAAGATCAGATTGCAGATATTCTGACCAAAGCCTTACCAAAGGCAATGTTTGAAACATTAAGGAAAGGTCTTGGTGTTTCCAGCAGAATTACCAAGGAGGAGTGTTAGTGGTTGAAGCATGCTAGTACTGAAGCATGTTAGTGTGTTAGTGGTTGAAGCAAGTTAGTATGGCATTTTTGCTGAAACTTTCTGGCAGCAGATTAGTTTAGGTAAAATGATGGGTCTGTGCATGGTGACCCATGCTGTTAGGCTAACAACTTTTGTATTTTTCAAGCCTATAAATTAATGAAATGAAGCTCATGATCAAATGAGCCAATTTACTTCAAGTGACAGATTAGTTTCTGCTGTCTTTGTTTGTTCTTCCTCTGCTCTAAATCCATCAGAAATGCAGGTGTGACACCCGTTTGTAAGAAGATGAGTTCGTATTTGTTTGGTCTTTGAAGATAGTTTAGGACTGATACGCTGAACTAAATGATGATTACGATTTCAAAACTTGAAGGATACTTTAAAGTCACCTCCTTCGGAAACTGAGACTATGAAGAGAGCTTCAATAATAGCAATTTCTTCTACAACCTTTTTCTACATCTGCTGTGGAGGACTTGGATATGCAGCCTTTGGAGATACACACCAGGGAACCTCTTGACAGGTTTGGATTCTATGAGCCATATTGGCTCATTGACTTTGCTAATGCATGCATTGTGATTCATCTAATTGGTGGATATCAGGTACTACTTACATTATATAATTGACATATTCTGGTTTGGGTACACATGCATCATCGTTCTTAGCATTTCCAGTTGCAAAAATGATATCTAGCTTCACGAGAAAGTGTTACCAAATGATTAAAGCCTTATAATTTGTCAGGAAATTGTTAACTTTTGTCTCCATGCATGCCTTCTTTTGGCAGGTTTATAGTCAGCCACTATTTGCAAATGTTGAAAAATGGATCTCTGAGAAATTTCCTGACAGTGGATTCATACACAAGGATTTCAACTTGAAACTCCCTCTTTTACCAGCTTTTCAATTAAATTTTCTCAGGCTTTGTTTCCGCACCATTTTTGTGGCATCTACGACAACTATTGCCATGTAATTTCTATATTTCAACCATGTTTTGGGAGTGTTAGGAGGCCTCTACTTTTGGCCTCTATCAATATATTTTCCAGTGCAGATGTATGTGAAGCAGAGAAATATTGAAGCCTGGTCAAGAAAGTGGGTGGTGCTTCAAAGTTTTAGCATTTTTTGCTTTCCCGTTACGTTGTTTGCCTTGGTTGGATCGATTGAAGGGCTTATAAGTGCAAGATTAAGCTAAGGATCTTTGTTGATTCTGGTCGTGAGAAGACAAGAAACATATACGGTCGAGGATTTTAGTTGTACTGAAACTTATGTTGTTGATTGCATGAAGTAGAAACATGCACATTGGTCACAATCTGGTGGAATAAGACAGGCAATGTACTATTTAGGAGGTTATTGGAAAACGTGGCATTGGGATTAGGTTGTCGGAATGAAATAATTTTCTTATAAATTTATAATGTCCTCTTCAGAATTCAATGGTGTATGCCACCCGTGTGAGGACATTTGCAATGTGAATTACTGAATACTTAGTCTTGGGATTTTCTTGTCAACGTGACAGAGATTGTATGGATTCGCAGGTTGGCTTTTTCCTTGAATGATCTCTCCTTTGAAAGAGTCATGAGCAACTCTGTAAGGATTACTTGTTTCTTGTTCATGGGCTTTAAAATTACTTGAAAACTCCCAAACCGACTTGCATTTGGCCAAGATTTAAGACTTTAGATTCATCAAAGATCCAAGTTTTTTCTTTCTTTTATTTTTTTTTTTAAACTGGCCTTTAACTTTGGTTTATGTTAGGTAGGCTGTGGGTTAAATCTTGCATTAGGAGCTTTGAATTAGAATCGCTCTTTTTTTTTTCTTTTTTTTTTTTTTAGAAAAAGAATCTTTAATTAATTCCAATATATGCTTGTGTTTAAACATATACGTTCACTTTGAAAACAGTGGTCGTGTATCCAATAATATGGTTTTGAAGGGGATATACGGTAAGTATTTTGTTCTGACATGAGTTGTAAGTATTGGAAGTTATGCAACAACAAATCCCAATGGACCATCGATGAGACAAACGTCGTAAGTTGTAAATTTAGATAAGAATCGGAAAAAGGCATATATATGAATATGATTGTGGTTGCGTTTGTGTGCTGTGCAAGAAAAGTGGGTGATGAGGCACACGTGCAACAGCCTTAACTTCTTCAACTCTGAAAAAAGGAGAGTTCCTAAGGCGGTTTTGTGTGAGCAAAGCAGAAAGCCAACAAACATTTGCATAACCTCAATCTCAAAGCCAGGCAGTCAACAAGAGAGAGAGAGAGAGAGAGAGTTGACCGGGCGTCTTGCGGGTGAGCTACCGGCCAATCCCTCACACGCTCAATAGCGTTGAATTCTTTAATAAAATCATGCACCCTTGATGGTGGTTCTCTCTTTTTCCTACACAACCCCATGCAATATGCAATAACGTTCCTTGTATTATATAAACAATAAACTACTTACCATTTCTTTTCTCATTAAAACCATCCAATCAGAAAAAGTGCCTCAAACAAATCTCACGTCCTTTATCAAAGATTAGCTAAAGCTAGCTAGCTAGGTCAAGAAGTGAGGCTGCAAGCAATTCTCTTTTCGGTTCATTGCTTATTCTACTCTTTTTCTCACCCTGTTGTTGCCGAATCTTTAGCCTCATTGTTATCATTTTCTTATGGAGTTGGAGTGAAACAAACAAAAAGCAAAGGAAATCAAAGAAAAGAAAAGATGGGTCGGATTCCATGTTGTGAGAAGGACAATGTGAAAAGAGGGCAGTGGACACCTGAGGAAGACAACAAGCTCTCCTCGTATATCGCCCAACATGGCACCCGCAATTGGCGTCTCATCCCCAAGAATGCTGGTCTGTGTTTTATATGATTGGTAACAACTCTTAAGAGGCAATTTTTAAAAGTATTTTCCTTTTTTTTTTTTAATTTCGGATTGACCAGGTCTTCAAAGATGCGGGAAAAGCTGCAGGTTGCGATGGACTAATTACCTTCGGCCAGACCTTAAGCACGGCCAATTCTCAGTTGCGGAGGAGCAAACTATTGTGAAACTTCATTCTGTTGTTGGCAATCGGTACACACCGCATAATGCTCTTTCCCAGCTACAGTTGTACCGGATAAAGCCTATTAGATTTTCTCTTTTATTCATATTTGGGTTATAGCAATCAACTTATGCAAAATGGGATCACATTGCAGCTGGTCATTGATTGCTGCTCAGCTACCTGGCCGCACTGACAATGATGTTAAAAATCACTGGAACACCAAGCTGAAGAAGAAGCTTTCAGGCATGGGTATTGATCCTGTTACCCACAAGCCCTTCTCTCACCTCATGGCCGAGATAGCCACCACGTTGGCTCCGCCACAGGTGGCTCATCTCGCAGAAGCAGCGCTTGGCTGTTTCAAAGATGAAATGCTCCACCTCCTTACTAAGAAACGCATTGATTTCCATCTTCAACAATCAAATGCGGCAAAAGGAAACACCACAGTTCCTTATGTTAGCAGCAAAGAAAATGAGAAAGATGATACAGCTGAGAAGTTCAAACTGAATTTATCAAGGGCTATACAAGAACCTGACATGCTACCCTTGAATAAGCAGTGGGAGTCTACCGGGGCAACATCGGGTAATTTTGCAGGGGCTTGTGGCGTTTTCCCTGCGTCTGTTACTGGATTTCAGTATGGCCCATCATCTTTCGGCAATGAAGGGGCTGGCTCACCATGGAGCCAGAGCATGTGTACTGGAAGCACATGTACAGCAGGGTACCAAGGCAGGCCACGTGAGAAATTAAAGGATGAAAATGGAGAGGAATACGAAGGTGGAAAAGCAATTAAGAATGCATCAAACATATTCAGTACAGATTGCGTTTTATGGGATATACCATCTGATGATCTTATCAATCCTATATATAGAGATGCCTTTAACAACAAAGAATAATGTAGGCAAGAATTTATATTACATGGCCAAGAATAAACTTCTTTGCGAATAGGTTATTAGGCAATGTAAATAAAAATCATTTTATAAACTATGATGAAACTTATAACTAAATTATAAAACTTGTCACTGTTATTCTCAATCGTTGTGTTTCCACTAAATCTTCTCTTTCAAGGAAAGCAATCTAGATCAAGCAAAATATGATGATGAAGAAGACGTATCAGCCAGGACCTGCAAGCATCAATTAGAAATTGTAAAACAAAAACTATGCATCATATTATTTAGCTTAATTGAAAATCCATCATCATTCATAGTTCTATTCAGATACCTCAAGTTGCTCCTCAGTAAACGAATCCTTTTGAACATTCCATGTATCTGCATGAGTACGCCGGAACTCAGCAACTGCTTTTGTCACTGTCGATCTTACAGGTGATGGCTCCCCACCGAAGCGGGCCAATAAGGTAACGTGATCAGGTAACCAACTGCAAAAAGAACATTGTACATAATAACATAGCCAAAAGAACTGACTTAAGAGGTTATAAAACAGAGGGGGGGGGGGTTTCCGCTGGCTTTTAGCATCTTATTAAGTCCTGAAAATTAGAAGGCTAGAAGTAAAACAATTCAAATGTCTAGGCAATGTTTGAAGACAGAAACATGATCTTGGGTACCAAAAAATATATATATATATACATATATATATAATTATAGAATGAGAGGACTTTGGCCCACCCTAAACACAAGTCATTTTTCCAAACTAACAAGCCTGAACAATCTGAATTTTCTCTAGTCACCAAGTTTCTTAGTGTCAACTTTTGATCCATAATTCCAAATTATACAGACTCAACTAAGCAGATGAAAATGCATCTCAAGGTTTATGCAGTGTTATAAGTACCCAAGGAAGATGAATTTATTAGAGATGGAAAAGTTTTCCACTTTTTAGACCTCTTTTCTCCAACATTTTCTTCAGTAAATATTTTTCATTTCTTCTTAAGTAAACACACATTTTTGCCCACTTCTTATCAATTTGTTTGTCGTGTTAGATACAAGCATGCATTCCTTGTGCATCAGGCTCACGCTTCAATGGCGACATAATTAGTAAAAATCCCATAAGTTCTCCAACTTCCCTCATGCTTTGAGAAAAAGAAACTAAGGAGGTAGAGTTGGTACTTGGATATTTCTGAGCCATTGTTACTTCCTTCTCAAAAATAAGCTATTGCAATAAAATACATAAACTCTGTCCATTTATTATAACCTTTCTGTGCCTCCTTTCAATAAAATAAACTTTTTTCTAACAAGTACCCTAACAATAAAATGGTTCTTCAGAACTGATGGCATTCTACAAATAGTAATCTATCAAATGGAAATCTCTGAAACTAAAAGTAACTGTTGCATTAACGAAATGATATTTCTTAGGATGGTAAGATTTAAAAATTGCCCCTTGGGCACTAATTAGGAAAACAAATAAAGTAATTATATTGCTCTTAAATGTTGAGTTGAAACTCAAGGATTTAGAAATAGCACTTAAATTTTTATCCCTGTAAAATAACTATTAATCTATATAACCAAAATTATTACTAGCATTTGAACTATTCATTATATTTAACATAGACCAACCTGGGCATATCATATGGGACTGATAACACAGAAGCTGCCAAAGCAAGCACTACACCATGTACAGATGCAACAGAGTGTCCAGAATTTACATTCCTGCATTAGTAAGTTATGATCTTTAGACTTGAATGGATATTAACATCAGCAAATTGAAACCAGGACCTAGTACACAAATGGATGTAAATATATGCAGTTTATGCATAAATAAGCTATTTACTTATGTATTATGATTAAGATGCTTATATCTGTGCCTTAATAACTGTCAGTCAGCCACAAATAAAATTTAAAAAATTAATTATAAAATCTGATGCAGATGGAAACAATGAACCTTTATGGCAGTTGCACACATAAAAATTATAAATTTCACATGCAGCTTCAATGCTCATGTTTTATTCCTATGAAGCATAATAGTGAAAATATCTGATATCTATATGCTGATAGTTATTCTTTGTAGAGACGTCCAACTGAGATTCATCATAGAAACTAAATTTATCATCATGACATTAGCAAGAATAGCCTTAATTATCTCATGCATGAGGATAAGACTTGGCAATCATCTCTAATCCCATCAAAACAAAAAAATGTGGGCTTTTATCAGTGCTTCTCAGCTTTTGATTTCCACTAAACAAACCAAAACTTATTAGCATCTAAAGGGCATCAATTTCCATTAAATGAAGTAATTGACGTTTAATGGGCATTATAACATAGAAATACCTTGTCCTTCTCCTACGTTGAATGGAATTTGCCTCTACATAAGCTCTGTCACGGAAATCTCTAGCAAAATCTTCATCCCCACCTTTCATTAGGCCAGCTAGCACCGCTGCAGCATGCTCTCTTACCTGAGCAAATGTAGCCATTTTAGTTAAAAGTAATAAGATCATATTCCTCCCCAAAGACCTTGACACTCAAATTGGGGCAAAACACAGATTAAACCAGGGCATCACGTGCAAAACAACTTTCTTAAGAGTGCAAGACTTCAAATTTTGTTCACTTTGTACTTCATTTCCGAGTCCAGAACTCCACTCATAACCTCTGTCAGTTCCTTTTCTTTATCAATATAAAGTCCCACATAATAAAGTCTATTAGTATAGACTGCATATTCCATTATCTTATAGAAGATTTAGCCAAAAATCTACCTCCACTTGACTGTCTTGAAGGAGCTTCTCCACTGTTTTCCAGATTTTTTGTTTGTCTTCTTTCGAGAGAATGAAAGTGTGCCTGTAATAAAGCACACAACTGTATTAGAATACAAACAAAAATTTTTCTCAACCTATATGATGGAGCTGATGCCTCCAACTAGCTTGCTAAAATAGTAAATTACCAATAATGCCCTTAGAGAATCCCTTAAAGAAGTAACACACCTGAACATAAAAGTTCGCAGATATGTTAGAGTTGCTGATCTAGTTCGCCAGTTAGGATCATTTGCAGAAGAAAGAATAACAGAAACAGCCTTCTCAAGATGAGGTTCTAAAACGATTCTCCATTTTAGCAATTCAAATGCTGCCTTCGCCAATGTTGACAAATCTTTGTTTGATGTTTCCTTCAAAAGGCCAAATTATCTCAGATATAAAAGTCAGGATGGCCAATATGACTAGATTCTAAGGCAAATCAGCTAACCGAAAAGCCAAAATTTAAAGATAGAGAGATAGAGAGATTTCCAAAATGTCAGCTCTATGTCAATTTGCTCCAAGAATTCTGAGATCGAATATATGCTAAAAGAAAAACATAGACATAGGCTTAGATATTAGAAAAGGTCGTAGTTTAATACATTTGCATATTGCTGAGTCCTGGTGATCACCAAAACATGTGCAGCGGCAAGTAAAAAAAGTTATGCATGGGAGTAGCACAAAAATCACAATATGCTAGAAGCACACAACTCAATTGAGATGGTGGACACAAGTTAAATGGAGTTGCATAAACAACAATAACAAGTTATGAATCAACAGGGCAATGAAGATTTAGAGTATGTCAAAATCATAAACCAAGGTATTTGTATCCAAAGTCCGAGATGCAGAAACCTTTACAATGTTTAATGACCATTAAATGAAAATTATGACAGTTTACATATCAAGGGAATTCTATCTGTATTTTGTCTTAGATTTTAATCTAACAGAGAATTCATTGGAAAATTTTGACCCCCGAAGTTGAAGAAACTAAATCAAAAGTTCAAACAAAATGTAAAAAGAAAAAAAAAAAGAAAAAGAGCAATGACAGTGAACCATACTGCAAATGCTATGAAATATTTTTCTTCAACTGAATGAGGAATGATTACTTCCAGAATGCCAACTTTAAAACAATGATAATTTTTCAGTATCTAGTATGAATTTTTTTTTTTTACTTTCTCCATTTCTTGAAACATTTATGGTCAAAACTACAAATTTCTTTGGCCTGAAAAAGAAAATGTGATTTTGACTATAATGTTTGAAATTAAATAACGCACCACGTAGAATATAAAGCGCTCAAGTTGATATAAAGCAATAGAAAATAATGCACAAAGTAGAATCTAAAAAAATACAAACAAAATATATGCTTCACATACCTGCAAGGAAATTACAGGATAAAGAAGCCCCACAATCACGTCAAGCAAATATGAAGATCTTCCAGACTTCAAAGTTGAGATGATAAAATGAAATAACTGCGCATGTTACAAAGGAATGTGATCAAATGGAGATATAAAAAAGCAAAGAAGATTAAATTGAGGGTAGTTAAAAAGTAACAAAGAGATTAAAGATTTAATACAGTTTCCATCCATTTGACATCATCCTGTGAATCACCGTTCTGATAACCATTTTTACTATTAATATCTGTTGAGGTATCTAAAACATCAGACAGGCCAGAATTCTGAATGTTCACAACAACTTCAGATGCTCTTTCTATTAGTAGTTGAACCCAGTTTTCCTCCTTAAGTTGGTTATTGATATCAGTCTTTCCCCTTTCATTTGAACGATCTTGCGAAGATGACACATGAAGCCGAATATTAGAGCACAACACAGAAAGGGTAACCCCAATAGCTTCCCTTACCTGCCCAACACACAGTTTTATAAGAGATTTATTGAAAGAAAAACCTCATGGTATCCAAATTTTTAAGGCTCTTCATCAAGCAACTCAGAAAACAAAGTGAGAAGTATTTAGATTTCTTGATGCTTTTTAACCCCTTTCCATGGTTAGAGAGAGAGAGAGAGAGAGAGAGAGAGGCTAACACCAACTCACAAATCACACTCACAATAATTTTAATGTGAAATTGACATATGCAGATGAGAGGCAAGCTTACTTGGGCTGATGAATGGCACATATTACCCAGCAACTCATCCAGAAGTTTATTATGAAGCTGTATCTCAGGCACTGGCATTTGTTGTGGTGATAGTTCTATAAGTGCAGCAGAAATAAAAGCATAGCGCTTTGCAACTAC